AGGCTTTCTTTCAAGGGCCTGTTATTGCCCCAACCAGCTAATACTAGGGACCTTTGAGTCTTATTTATGCCTTCTGTTGAAAGACTTCCCCTCAGAGAAGAAGATAAGAAAGGAGAACGGATGAAGGGCACAGAGGGCCCTATTTATTCTGTGTCCTAGTATGGCATACTATTGCATGGACACTATATTACCATTTTTTCATAGGTCATATCTGTTTTTACAGTATTCATCTCTTTGTACAAATCATTCCTTATGTTTTAGCTGATTATTCTTTATCAACATAGTAGGTGTCCTGAAAGTAAAATTCAAAAGATGAAACTTTTCTCAAGACAAGTGCCTATTATTTTATTTCCAGCAGCAGCCCAGAAACCAGATTTCACTTTTGGATAACACCTATAAACCCAGCTGTTTGCATTTCATCTATTTCTTTTTCTAAAAATGTAATACTATTGTCCTGAGTTCTTCTGGGTGTGTGTGTGTGTGTGTTTGGTCCATGATCACTGGAAACAAATTTTATGTTTCTTCTGGCATAGAATCAAAGAAAGTGGGCAGTGATTAGGTTTGATGAGTCTTGCAAGCTACCCTTCTTCTGAAAAGAGTAGCCCAACTCCCGATCATTCGTGTCAGACCAGTATTGCCACATCCATTTCCCATGGGTTGGAATCACCAGTGACCTACCATTGCTTTTTCTTCTTCCTGGGGTTAGGTGAAGATGTCTTGGACCAGTCAGTATCTTTTTCTGGGAGCCTGAGATGCATCGGCCTTTTTACTAGGGCTCTACAGGAAGAAAGACCCTCATAGTATCTAATTTTATGGCTCTTTTCTGACCCATGTTTCCAACTTTTTTTTCCTTTAAGAAAAAAAAAAAAACATTCTCTCTTTGAAGGGTAAGGAGAAATTTTGTGAAATTTGAAAATCTGGTAAGTGTTTTGCCTTTTATTTTATTCTTTAGTAACTATATGCTAAGGATCATCTCAACTGAGGGGAAAATTGGAGCAGTGGTCAAACTTGTTTGTAGTAAGATGTATAGGATTTAAGCCACGAGACTCAGTTTAATGTTTTTTCCAAGCAGAAACAGTAGACCCAAATTCTGTAAAATATACACAAATATATAAGATTCATTTTAAGAAGGTTTATGTTCTATTTTTTTTCTCTTTTATTTTTATTTATTTTAAATAGAGACGGGGTCTCAATGTGTCACCCAGGTTGGTCTTGTACAGGGCTCAAGCCCTTCTCTGTCTTGGCCTTCCAGAGTGCCAAGATTACAGGCACGAGCCAAGACACCTGGCCCACATTCTACTGTCCATAGAAATGACATATTTAAATAATTTTTCAGATTGTACCAATGCTTCTATTTACAGATGACATTGATAACGTTTTCAAAACTGCAAAAATGCAGAAAAATTAATATAGGACATCAAATAAACTAAGGTTTAATTATGAAAAAAAATTGTAAAAAGCAAATCAAAGCAGCATCAGATATGACCAAAAATGTAAACCAGATCACTTGCTGGGACTCTTGGGGAGGTTGGGTAAAGATTTGGGATGCAGGGGTCTCATCTACTTATTTGGTAGACCAGGAGTCGAATCACAGGTTCAGTGAGTTGCCTCCGATACAGTGGTTTGTGGCAGAGCCAGAGCTTGAATTTGGGATTCTTGACTCCTACTGTTTTTCTTTTTTCTGTGACACATACTAAAGGATTGGCCTTTAGATTCTTCTATGTTTTGTTTTGTCTGGGGAAGAAGTAAGATAAGTAGTCCCCTGGGTATCTGCAGTGGGAAGAAGTTACCATTGTGAGGGATAGAAAGAGGCGCTTTTATGTTTGCGTATTGAGATTTTCTTTTCCTTAAATTTCCTTTAGGGTGTGATGTAGTGATTTAGGGTGGGGTTGACCCAGAATAGATTTTGCCCTAATAAGAGGTTTTCGGACGTCCTATTGCCTGTTTCGTCGTGCCCAACAAACATCTTGTTGAACAGCCTTGACACTCTGCCTTAGAACACAGCAATTGGTGGAGAAGTGTGGATGAGTTGAAGTGATAGTGGCCAGAACTGCAAATAAATTTAATGCAGTCTTGATAATTGAATGTGGTCTCCACCCTGAATTCTGAATGGATGCTGTGTATAAAATAGCTGCTTTGAAACATTTGAGTTTGATTTCAGTTGATTGGTTTTTTTTTTTTTTTGGAATGTCTATGTTGAAAATTTTCTTTTTTTTTTCCTAATTGGAAGAAAATGAAAGAGAGGATTTGGAACCGAAGCTTGCTATACTTTTGGCAGTTTGTGTGACCCAACTATATGCCACGAGATTGTCAATACCCCTGCTATACCTAAGAGCTCTTTTTGGCAGTTGTCCTCTACTTTCTTTACAAAACAAACTCAAAAAACCAGGTTCCCTGCCTTCCTGTCTCTAGCTTGTCTGCATCCAGGACTATCTTTTCCTCTTTCTCTTCCATCTCTCCTACCTTCTGTTTAAGGCTAATTCCTTTACAGCCTTGTTTAAATCAATCTCTCCTTCTCCCCTTACCAAAGAATCACTTTTTTTTTTTTCGTATGAGTCTCACTGTGTTGCCCAGGCTGGAGTGTAGTGATGTAATCTGGGCTCACTACAACCTCTACCTCCTGAGTTCAAGCAATTCTCCTGCCTCAGCCTCCTGTGTAGCTGGGATTACAGGTGCGCACCACCATGTCTGGCTCATTTTTCTATTTTTAGTAGAGACAGAGTTTCACCATATTGGCTAGGCTGGTCTCTAACTCCTGATCTCAGGTCATCTGCCCACCTCTGCCTCCCAAAGTGCTGGGATTACAGGTGTGAGACACCGCGCTCAGACCAAATAATCACCTTTATTCAGATATCTCCTTTCTGTTAGCTCCTTCCCTTAGCATGTTGGTCCCTCTGCTCCCTAAAGTCCCCTCTAGATGGTCACAGTGTCTTTCCTCCAGTCTTTTATAACTAAGGTCTTTGGTTATGAAGAATGATCTCTGGCAGTAAACCTTTGCCTTTTCATTTCTTATAATTGTCTCTGATAAAGATTCTGCTTCATTGAGATTGCATGGGCAAGCAACCTCTTAATTTGCTATTCCATAGGATCTGCCTCAGAGCCTGTCTGACTTGACTTTTCTGCAGTAGTTTTCATTGTTGCTTCCGTTCCTGTGGAGGTTTGTTTTTCCTCACTTGTATGGTGCCACTTTCTCCTGGCTGCTACCTCTTTGCTTCTTCGCGGGCAGCTTTTCTGTGACCTTTCCCAGTGTTTAAGGTTCTGTCCCTGCTGCTTCCTTTTCTCACCAGATATTCCCTGGGTTCTCTTTCATGTGATAGGCGTATGCTGCTCTGATTCACATTTCCAGCTCAGATCTCTTTCCTGAGCACCAGATTTAACCTCACTTGGAATCATATTGATACCTCAAATGTAGCTTGTTCAAAACTGTGGTCCCCTAATCTCTTCCTCTGGTTTCATTATCTACCTAAGTCAGAAATGGGAGACCTTGCTGTCATCCTTGCTTTCCTCTTTCAATCCATCAGACTAGTTTCACCCACCTCTTTTCTCCCTCATTTATTCATTTAGTCATTTAGTTATATCAATTTATACTTATTTATTTTATATTTTGGGTTGCAACCCAATATTATTTATTCTGTTGATCAAATTGTCCAGCTTTGGCTGTTGGAAGCTCTTTTAGGTTGATTTCTTTGTCCCTTTGACATGTCCCTGTCTCAGCCGTAGAATTGGCTATTTCTCCACGGAGCCCTAGTTTTATACTGGGAAATGGTATTAGAAACTAAGGTCTGGGCGTTGGATGTGCATGTTGTTACTGGAGTGTCACTGCTTCTGTGCCTTTCAGTGTACAGATATATGGATATGAACCCAAGTATATATAAATATCTGTAATTGTTTATCTGTTCATCTTTATATTAAGCTAAATATAAGTTTATACTAGGCCGGGTGCGGTGGCTCATGCCTGTACTCCAAGCACTTTGGAGGCCAAGGTGGGCGGATCACCTGAGGCCAGGAGTTCCAGACCAGCCTGACCAACATGGTGAAACCCCATCTTTAAAATAAATAAATAAATAAAATAAAAAAAGAGCTTATACTGACTTTAGCAGATTCATTGCCATCTCTCCTTCTTATCTGTAACTTTCCTCTCTATGAGAAACTTGGCATCCATCACCACTATCCCATCATGTTACACTGTAAGCATGGACTTCCTCCATGTCCCCCTCACTAGGCTGTGTGAGTATCTTAGATACTTATTAAATCTTTGTTGATTAGTGATGAATCTTGAAATTGTAATGTATCTTACATAGTAAAAGTTTAGCATTTTAGCAAAAGCAATGTAAATGAATCTTGTAAAGTTCCAAACAAAACTTTTAACTGCTTTCTTATGTAATATCTGTTAATTGTAGAAAATATGAAAAGTGAGAAGGAAAAAATGCACCTGTAATTCTGTCGCCCAGAGATAACACTTAATACTTTGGTACATGTCATTTTAGAACTTTTTCTTTATATGTATATGTCTACACCCCCTAAACGATTTTTACAAGAATAAATTCACATTTCACACTACATATTTATAGCCTTTTTTTCACTTAATATAATATTTTTTAAGGATGTCATATAGTTGTATCATAATTTAACTGTCTTTACTGTTTCACCTCCTACTCTAAACCAATTCCCCTTTTTAAGATGTGCAAATTATTACCAATTATTTGCTTTTATAAACCCTGATGAATATTTTCTTAGAAGTCTTGACAGGCTGTTCTCATGGTTTCTTTAGATAGACTTCTAAAAGTAGGATTGCTGGATTAAATGTATTTTGAGGATTCTGGTACATGTTTCTAGGGGTGAGGTTTTTACATTGGCATCTGTTTTTACTTTGCACTTCTCCTGGGAAGTACTCTTTAACACCCTTGAGATCTTTCATCCCTTTTGGGATTATGAATAAATATACATTTTTTAAAGCCAGGAACTCACAACTGTTCATCCTGATTTATTTACCTGCATAGACTGTTGTGTCAAAGAATGCACTGCAGTACCGGGGAAATTCTCAGCATGATGCTCAGGAGTTTCTGCTGTGGCTTTTGGACCGAGTTCACGAAGACCTCAACCATTCAGTGAAGCAGAGTGGCCAGCATCCTCTGAAGGTAAGGATGCACGCTGCCCTAGGGCAGTTAGCTAGCCACGAGAGCCTGTAGATTCTTCTACTGAGGACATGTTGCATTGCATTAATACAATGAAATTGACTAAGCTCTGGGTGAGTATAATATTCAATGGATACTTAAAGGACCTTTCACTTTGTTTACTACTATGCTGGCAGTGTAAGATACAAGAGCTGTTGTCCCCAAGAAATTTATAGTCTAATGAGAGGGGAAATATTTGCATGTATGGTGAACTTTAGATTAAAATTAAGTGATCCCATTTCACTAAACTTTTTAAAGCAGAATATATTTGCTTTCTATTCTAATAAGACACATACTCTGTAGTTCACTGGAATGAATACACAATCACAAAGGAAACATATGGATTTTTTCTGCTGTTAGGATTGGATTTGACCATAGGACCCCCAGAATGTTCTTACTGAGAAACATAGTGATTAATTCTTAATTTTATACATGTAGTCTTAAAAATGTGGGTAAAATGATTTATATAATAGAAAAAAAATTAAGACTAAAGAGTTGCTTCCCTTGGGCAGCTTTTAAGTTTTTGATAATTCTGCTCTGTACTTCAAATTTTAAATTTCCAGGTTTGGTGAGTTGTTAAATTATTCTGATTCAAGGTCCTTTTGTGCCTGAACACTCTATTCTGTCATATGATTATATGTGTGTGGCTGACTCTCCCACCAAATTGAGATATCCTCAAGGTCAGGCACTCGGTCTTAATATCTTTGTATCATAATGTCCTGTACAGTGCTCTGTGCATGTGGTAGTAGGTGCTCAGTAACTGTTAGGTGGAGGGACATGAAAAGTTAAATAGAACATGAAGTAGAGTGTGATTAGGCACCAACATAGACTGCACAGCTAATCAGTCCTGGGGATTTAGGCATGGGCAGCATTAGTAGTTTTAAAGTGATTGGGGATACTTCCTGGAGGAGGTTGGGGTGGGGGCTTCAAGAATTGGAGGGACACTGGAGCATCCTGGGGAAGGAGAGCTGCCCAGCTGCCTGAGTGCGGTATAGAGATGATTGCTGGCAGAGTCTGTAAGGAGATGAGTCCACGAGACCCATATCCTGCTTGCTGTGTTCTGGCTCCTTTAGCAGGTGCCTGTCACTGAAGTATCTGGACTTGATGCGTAGTCTGTAAAGGAAGTCAAGGACATTTGTAACTCTCTAGGTTCATCTTTAACCAAGAATTGATCCTTCTGGTCTGTGAAATTGTACTTTTTCTTTTTAGCCACCGTCAGAGACTGATATAATGCCTGAGGGACCATCTTTCCCTGTCTGTAGCACTTTTGTACAAGAACTCTTTCAAGCGCAGTACAGGTATGAGCAAATCAGATATTCCCACTTACTTTGCTTACTTGACGTAGTTCTGGGTGCTTTTAATGTTGAGTGTCTTACCTTTTTGTTTTGAAGATCTTCTTTGACATGTCCTCATTGTCAGAAACAGAGCAACACTTTTGATCCATTCCTCTGCATTTCTTTGCCAATTCCACTACCCCACACAAGGTAAGGATGGATTTAGTAAAATGAAGACTGTATTTTCTTATAGTATTCCTTTTCCTCTGTAGGCTCCTATTAGGTTATCTTATTTAGACAGGTAAGAGGATTAACAGTGGGATTGAATACAGTCATTGCTGCAAACATACAAGAATAAATGCCCACCTGAGTTTGCAGGGTGAGTAGGCACATGAGGCAAGCAGGGGCTGTGTAGTCTGGCCCAATTTGTCATCTACACATAATATCGGGGGTGGGGGAGAGCTGTTGAGTGACTTCAGGATTCTCTGGAGACCTTACTTTACATTTCTTATTCCTTAATTGCTTTATTTTAAACAGTTTCTCAACATTTCCAGGAGTTAGGCTGTTTTAAAGAAAATACAAAGCACAGAATCAAGTATAGATACATTTTTGTTTTATGAAGATTGCCTTTTTCAAAGATCTTGATGACTGTTTGATAGTTCTACTTAGAGCCAAATGAAATTTTTCCATCCAGCTTCCGAGTAACAGTGTGGGTTAGCTTTGGTTTTGTGTTGATTTCAGCTCAGGCTTGGTTTGCATCTTTTATATTTTAGTTGAAATAAGTGACTAATGAGAAGATCTGACTTTGATCTGTACAGGCCTCTCTATGTCACTGTAGTGTATCAAGGGAAATGTTCTCACTGCATGAGGATTGGTGTGGCTGTGCCTCTGTCTGGGACTGTCGCCAGACTTCGGGAAGCAGTGTCTATGGAAACAAAGATCCCCACTGATCAGGTAATAAGTCTGCTAAGTCCAGCTATACATGAGCCACAAAAGCATCGCTTTCTGTCTTCTTGGAATTTTTTACAGTTCTTTGCCAAGTACGATTAGATGGCGATTTAAAACCAGCTGCATTTAGAGTTGAGGGGAAAAAAATCAAGACCCAAAAGAGTAAAGTGTACAGAGGAACCTTTCATGTTTCATTTAATTGTATAGATAATTTTAAAAGCTGTGACTTTACATTCAGACCTTCTTGTAGCTTTGTTCATAAGGTATAATTAACCCTTCTGAAATCATCCCTGTGGATGTATATGTGAGCAGTAGAGCATCCTTGCAGTATTTGACAGTCAAAGAGGCTTCGAAAAATTGAGCAGTGACACTAGAAAACCCCTTCTCATTGTGGTGATAAGAGTGGACATCTTGCTAGTACAGTGTTTTGTACGTGATGCTCAATATGTTTTGCTTTTTCATTACGGCTGGATCAGAGTCTGTTACCTTGTTTAGATCAGAGAAAGGAAAGTTGTGCCCATGCCCCTTTTTGGGATACATGTTCGATAAGCAGTTACGTTGAAATTGACCAAAAATACTTTTGACCTGTTTGTGACTTGACATGTTTTTGCATATAGTTTTTACTCAATTTACTGTGATTATTTTATTTGGGAAAACATTCTGTATTTAAGATTTATTAAGGAAAAATGACTCAGTAGCTAAATACCTTTCCCTACATAGCAGCTTCTGGAACCTACTATGTAATCCCTGGAATAATAAAGGTGTTTTGTACTTTGGCCTCATGTGGCCTCATTTGGGAAGTTACCACAGTAAAACAAATACAACCAGCAGTGTTGCCTTAATATAGCAAATATCTCATATTTTTGCAGGCCAGGTATTGGCATGTTGGTAAAATGTTCATATTCTTTCTTACTCTGAAAAGCTCATTAACTCTTTCTCTTCCTCAGGATGAGGGAAAGGCAGAAAAAGAGGGAGCAAGGCTTCGGTGGTGTCCGGGGCAAATCTGGTTGTGTCTTTACAGCTTCCAGCACTGTCTGCTCCTTTTGCATGTGGTTTAAATTGTTGAAATAATTGCAAGTGTGCTTTTGACCTCAGTTTGCTGAAGAGAGTGAATTTTGCTTGCATGTTTACCAGCAGAAAAACAACATGATCGTTAAATTCATTAGGAGGAAAATATGCCAGGAATATTTTTGCTGGACTATTTGTGGAATATACCACCAACCCCTTTTACTTGGTAGATTTGCAGAGTGTTAGTGCTGGTAGAGGGGACCGCAGCGGTCCTGTCCAACTCCCTTATTTGAAAGAGGCTCAGAGAAGCCATGTGACTTGTTCAGGTTTGCAGGGCTGGTTGGTGGTAGGCCGGACTGGAACCTATGTGCCCAATCCAGTGCGGCTTAGAATGTAATGAAGTCTTTAAATGTCTCCAGTGTTCTCTCCATCTGTTGTTTCTCTGTATTGCTTGACTGATTGATTGAATGATTGAGACAGGGTCTTACTCTGTTGCCCAGGCTGGAGTGCAATGGTACAATCATGGCTCACTGCAGCTTCAACCTTGTGGGCTCAAGTGATCCTCCCACCGCAGCCTCCCGAGTAGTGGGGATGACAAGCACACACCACTATGCCCAGCTAATTTTTGTATTTTTTATAGAGACGAGGTTTTGTCATGTTGCCCAGGCTGGTCTTGAACACCTGGCCTCAAACATTCCTTCTATCTTGGTCTCCCAAAGTGATGGGATTACAGGCTTGAGCCACCATGCCTGTCCTGTTTTTCTGTTTTATTGTAAAATACTCAACCATTTCAGAAATCTAACAGAAAGAGGAAGTAGCTCATATTAGGTATCTTAGCGCTAAGGGTTGCTAACTTTAATCCTATGTTCATTTAGATTTTTTCCATGCATATACTATATTATTTTATAAAAGTAGAATCATTTATACATACTTTTTTTTTACCTTGCTTTTAGATCTTTGCATGTTAGTGCAAATATATATAGTTTATTCTTTTTAGTAGCTTTATATTCCAGTAGGGCTATAATATATTTAACTACTTAGTATTTTTGGACATTTGAGTTGATTTTTTTTTTTCAATACAAATATCGATGGTTTAGCCTGAAAAATGGAAAATTAAATGATGTGGGAGAAAGCCTCAGAGTCATTGTGGACTCTTCCTTGACATGAGGCTGAATAGTTGTAGAACTTTTAGGCAAGTCTCTTGGCTTCTCTTCTTCCAGTGACATGGGGGAGTTAGATGTTATGATCTCCTGGTTCTCTTCTACATCAAAACTTAGAGGAACTCTGGAGTTAGAGTCATAGAGTTCTGACATCAGAGTGCAGGTGTCCGTTAGTGTCCGTGGGGATTGGTTGTAGGAACCCCTGCACTAGGATACCAAAATCCACAGTGTTTTAATCCCTTTTATAAAATGGCACAGTATTTGCATGGAACCTAAACATATCATACTGTGTACTTTATTTTTACTTTTTATTTTATGAATACATAATAGTTGTACCTCCAATATACTTTAATTCATCTCTAGATAACTTATAATATTTAATGCAGTGTAAATGCTATGTAGACAGTTGTTATGCTATATTGTTTATAAAGTAATGACAAGGAAAAAAAGGCTATCTGTTCAGTATACATTCAATCATCCTTTTCTTTTCTTCTGAATGTTTTTGATCTGCAATTGGTTGAATCCACAGATGTAGAACCCACAGATGACTGTATATTGTTATATAATTACAGAGGATATTGTGCTTCCAAGATTCTCTCATTAAAGTCAAAGTAAGCATTGTGAGATGTTTCAAAGCTCTCTCAGACCACTGCCAGTCCTGATTGTCTGGAAAAGTTGATATAATTGGGAGATCAATTAGTATTGAATTTCCAGTTACCCAATTGTTTATATTTTTCCTATTTTTAGATTGTGTTAACGGAAATGTACTATGATGGGTTCCATCGTTCCTTCTGTGATACAGACGACCTGGAAACAGTCCATGAAAGCGACTGCATTTTTGCCTTTGAGACTCCTGAAATATTTAGACCTGAAGGAATTCTCAGTCAGAGAGGTAAAAATGAGCACCTGTTTTAATAATGCCACCTGGGTTTGCAGGTTTAACTATCATCTACCCTTTTAGATGTCTATTGTATGATGATATACATTAAAAAAATTGTAAAATACACATAATTTTTTAAATGATGGTATAAATCTTAGAGTAATATTTTCCTAGAAGAAACCACCTCTTACTGTTTTAGGCAAAGATATATCCATTGTTTAGTTGGGATAATCTGTTACTGAGATTCAGGACTGACTGTGACCTCCCTTAAGTAGCCTTTTTGGCATCTTATCATGGCATTCAGGAGGATAAACTATGCCAGAACTTTTTTTTTGTTTTTAATTTTGCTATATCAGCTCTTAAGATTCTAACGTTTTTGCTATAGAATGTTTTCTTGGTACCCACTTTTAAGAAATTTGCATGTAACTTTTCACTGATAGGCAGCAAAATGAAGTAAAACTATGGATAATATTGTTACTCTTACTGTGGTTTGGGCTGTGATTTGGAACTTAGCTTGGTCTCCCCACTGTGCTTGAAGTTACTGGGTTATTCTGATTTTAAGAGTTATCAAGCAACTTAGACCTTGTTCCTGGCCACAGTATTCTTCAGGGTTCCTCCTGGGGTTCCTTTTCTTTTTGCTCTACCCTGGTGGTTATAAATGCATCAGTGTTACTTGGGAACTGATCAGAAATAGAAATTCTGGGTCCCTACTCCATACCTAGTAAAGGAGAAACTCTCGTAAACAAGCTCTCTAGGTGATTGTGATGCAAGCCAAAGAGAGAACTGCTGCTGTTATTAGGATTTTCCACTGCCTTGATTTTTTTTTTTTTTTTTTGAGATGGAGTTTTGCTCTTGTTACCCAGGCTGGAGTGCAATGGCACGATCTCGGCTCACTGCAACCTCCGCCTCCTGGGTTCAGGCAATTCTCCTGCCTCAGCCTCCTGAGTAGCTGGGATTACAGGCATGTGCCACCATGCCCAGCTGAATTTTTGTATATTTAATAGAGACGGGGTTTCACCATGTTGACCAGGATGGTCTCGATCTCTTGACCTCGTGATCCACCCGCCTCGGCCTCCCAAAGTGCTGGGATTACAGGCTTGAGCCACTGTGCCCGGCCTGCCTTGATTTTTTGAACTGAATTCACCCTGTAGACTCTACTTTTCTTTGGTTCCCGTTCCATTCCTTGACTTCCACCTTCCCACTGGAATTTCTAATTAGAAATCCTGCAGGCATCTTGCTCTTAGCACTTCTTTCTTAGATTGGTTGCTCCTGCATTTTTTCTAGAAATAATGGCACTATTACCCTCCTCTTCACTCGAACTGGATCCAAGCTTGATGACTTCTTCAAAATTCTCATAGAACTGTTGATACACACTGCATATTTCCTCTTTATTCTACTGCCACTGGCATGGCTCAGGACAGTCTCAACTGAGATTTTCCAGTAAGTTCTTTTATCTTTATCACTGAGCTTTTTCCAGTCCAGTTATTTCTCCACAGACACAGTTCTGATCATGTTACATGCTACTGATTTACCAGTGGTTCCTCTTTTCTAAGATTAAATCTAAACACCTTGAAAGGAACATAACCCCTTGTGATTTGGTCCTTGCCTTTCTTTCTAGCCTCTGTACTCCATTTCCTCTCCTTCTTCACGTCCTCTCTTTCACGTTACTCTTTGTTTCTCAGACATGCCATGTGCTTTTCCACGTTCCCTGCCGTTTGCTATGGTGAGGATTCACTTCTTCAGCTTCCGTCTTGTTAGCTACTGCTTTGTCTCCCCAAGGCACCTTCCAGTCTTCCCATCCTGCTAAGCTCTAAGAAGCCACTATTCAGCTTTGTCTCTTTTTTTGTTTTTGAGACAGAGTCTTACTCTGTCGCCCAGGCTGGAGTGTAGTAGCACGATATTGGCTCACTGCAGCGTCAGCCTCCCAAGTAGCTGGGATCACAGGCATGTGCCACTATGCCCAGCTAATTATTGTATTTTTAGTAAAGATGGGGTTTTACCATATTGGTCAGCCTGGTCTCAAACTCCTGACCTCAAGTGATCCGCAGGCCTCAGCCTCACAAAGCGCTGGAATTACAGTCACCACACCCGGCTCACTATTCTACTTTCTGTTTCTACAGATTTCCTGAGTCTAGACTTCTATATGAATGGAATCATAAAATATATGGTATTTTGTGACTGGCTTTACTTAGTGTGATGTTTTCAAGATTCATTCCTGTTGTAGTATATATCATACTTAATTCCTTTTTGTGGCCAAATATTTTATTGTTTGAATAGGTCACATTTTGTTTATTCATTGCTAATGAACATGTGGGTTGTTTTCACCTTCTGGCTAGTATGAATAATGCTGCTGTGAATGTGCCACACAAGTTTTTGTGTGGACTTATGTTTTCTTTTCTTTTCATACCTGGGCATAGAACCGCTGGGTTGTGCGGTAACTCTGTGTTTACTCATTTAGGGGAACTTACAGACTGTTTCCCAAAGTGGCTGCACCATGTTACATTTTTATCAGCAGTGTCTGAGGGTTCCATTTTCTCTACATCCTCACCAACAGTTGATTATTATCTAACTTTTTTATTTTAGCCATCATAGTGGATATGAAGTGGTATTCATTATGGTTTTGATTTGTGCTTGTGACTGACATGATGTTGATCATCTTTTCCTGTGCTTATTGGCCATTTGTATGTTGTCTTTGGAAAAACGTCTATTCAAATCTTTTGCCCATTTAAAAATTGCTTTGTTTGCTTTTTGTTGTCGACTTTTAGGAATTTTCACATATGCTGAATACTAGACCCTTATCAGATATATGATTTGCAAATATATTCTCCCATCCTGTGGGTGGTCTTTTAACTACCTGATAATGTCCTCTGAAACACGAAAGTCCTTAGTTTTGTTGAAGTCCAGTTTATCTATTTTTTGTTGTCGTTGCTTGTGCTTTTATTGTCATATCTAACGTTTTATCAAATCCAAAGTCATAAAGATTTACCTCATACTTTCTTTTAAGAGTTTTATAGTTTTAGCTCTTACATTTAGTTTTTTGAACTATTTCGCGTTAATTTTTTATGTTGTTTAAGGTAAGGGCCCAACATTATTCTTTCGTGGTGGCTGTCAAGTTGTCCCACTTAGCTGACTTTTCAAGCAGATAGTTAAATTTCCATGAATGGGATAACTGAAATGGCAGAAGCCTCATTGGATTTTTCTGTGAGGGTCCAAACCAGAACTGTGGACAGCCCTGCAGAGGGGTCAGCTTAGTAGTTGTGTTAGCATAAGGGAGATTAGCACCTGGGCTTTGTGTCAGACCCAGGGAGACTGCTGCTTCCTAGCTTAACCAGTTTTTTTAAATTTTAGTTTCTTTACATGATGTGCAGAGGAAAAATCACTACCTTGATAGTGTTGATGTCAAGATTGTATGAGGTTGGGCATGTCAGACATTCCACAGGGACTGGCTATAGTAAGTCTTCAATAAATGGAAGTACTTTTATATTTCTGGTTATTGCTTCCAGTGTTCTGTTACTGGTAACACAATGTTGAGGTGACCTTCTTTGCTCCAGCAGTAAATGAATCAATTACAAATATTTTTGCACACTTGTAGATAACTTTTACTGTGATTGGCATGAGTGGTAAATATAAAATAAGCATAATTTAGGTTTTTGGTACTATCTGAACAGAGATTTATTGAAGTTATTTAGTGAAGATAATGTGGGAGGTACTGATGACCACAAAGAATAAGGCCAAACTCTCGCCCTCAAAAATTTCACCATCTAGTGAGCTCTTTATGATAGTTTAGCCTTGGTCAGTTTATGTAGGAGTATTATCTGTTTTCAAAGGAAAGTATAAATGGAAGTATTGGGAAACCTTAGTGGGAGCTACTAAGACTGCTTGGGCTGGATTGGGATGGTGCCACAGGGGAGGGGACAGATTTGAATGTAAAGAATGGATGGGCCATCCAAGGCAGAGAAGGGTGGAAGAAAGGCCTTGCAGTTTCAGTATGAGGGAGGGGCAGAAGGCAGAGTGTGATGGGCTAAGGAATAAGCAGAAAGCCAGAGAGGGAGTCAGGGAATGTCTTCCCCTTTTGACCTTAGTGTAAAATGTAGGCGGTAGAGTGTGCTCAATCCTTAAAAAGTGAAGGGGCATTTTCTTCTGAGACAGGAGGAAGGGGTACTGTGGGTGAAGATGGAGACATTCAAAGTGGAGGAGAGGGAAGGTGAAGTGGTTTGGATCAGGAAGACTTAATTCCAGCAAGGTTGACAGAGTGAGTGGAGGTGTGTTTGGGCACTTGAACAGAATGAAGTGTTGTGGAGCAGGGAGGAGTGCAGCTGCTGCGCCGACCCTGGGCTGGTGTCCCCCTCAGCACCACCTTGTGTTGAGGGGACCACCTGACCCTCCCTTCTTGCTGTTTTTGCTAGGGTCTTTCTTCTGCCCACCCCTTAAAGTTTGGCGTTCCCAGGGGTCCTGTTTCCTGTTCTCATCCTCCGTCTTAGTCATGACCCTCTCCTTGGCCTGTCTGTTCAGCACTCATGGTTTGAACCAGCATGCTTGTATCCTATCTATCTCTATGCCTGCCATACATCCTGCTTCTGACCTGTACATCCAGACGTTTACTTACTACCTTCACCTCAACTGTTC